TGACTTTTCCGGAGGGTGGGGGATTGGGGGGTGATAGCAGAGGTGTGGTAGACTGAGGAGAAGACCACTCCTTCTGGCTTCAGGGGGCTGGCTGCCACGTCTCCTGGAAGGAAATGACTGTCTTCCTAGCTTGGTAGTATTTTTCCCTCTCTCATGCTTCCCTCTGCTGTGTGTGGGGGAGTGGGAGGTGGGGCTGATGGGGCAAGGTGAGCACTGGAAAAGGGCCGCTGGAAGCCATCAGTTCTCTCCCACTCCAGTGGTGCTGCTTCTGGAGAAGGTCGGGGAAATGCCCTCCACCCCATCTGGGGCCAGACCTGTGGGCTCCTTCTGGAGTGGAGGATGTGACTGATGTGAAATGCTGAGTTTCTTGAGCAGCTGTCTGCCCTCGGGGTAGTCTTACTGTTCTGAAGATAAATAAGCAGAGAAGCACTAAAGTAAGGAATTTGCAATAAAAAAAGAAAAATGAACAATGGAAGCCATAAGAGAAGTGAGAATCATTGGGTCATATAAAGTATGGTAAATGTCACAGCACTTGATAATTTTTCTGCTAACAGGCATTGCAAAGATGGAGGTCTCCATAATTATTATTCTCCTTATTTCCCTCCTTCTATCATCAGAAGACCTAGGAGCCTGCGGATCTGGTCCTCTTGGCATTGTGTTGCAACCCAAAGCAAGACAGAAGTGTAGAACCCCTTCAATGGCAGCACAAACACAACAGTAGGTTTTGCTGCCTGAAATAGGTGTTGACTCAACACTCTGTAAACTTTTTAATTTATATATGAAAAACTTCCAAGGCAATCATTTTATTATTCATTGGAAGTTCATATTCACAGCATTTAATGTGTACCTGTTACATGTAAAGTACTCTACTAGGTACTATTTATAAATTAAAATTAGCAATTCGCTTATGAAAAGTAAATCATGGCCCACATGCCCCAGAAGGCCTATTAAAAGCAGGCAAGGTGCCCACGAAAATATGTTTCCTTTGAATTCCACAGAAATCTCAGTTTGGGGAGGAAAAGCAAGGGTATTCGTTTTAAGCCACTGTGTGTATCCTCGTAAACTGTTAATGTGCAGACCAGAGGTTGTGGCTGTAACAGGAGTAAGAAAATATTCAGTGGATGTGTCTATGACCGAATTGAAGTTGGTGGTCCAAGTGGTCTTTTTATTGGCCTGTAAAAATTCCAGGTATTTGTGTAACTCTTTAGAAGAGTAAAAAAGTAAAAGTTTAAAAAAACTGAATTGCTGCATGTTTGGGCTCAGTTTTCCTCTCTATTGGGACCATATTCACCTTCAGTTTCCAGCCATGCCGTTCCTGTTGTCAATTCTGAACAACATTAAATAAAGGGGTAAAGTTCCTTTATGTCCCATATTTAAAAATGCCTTGAGAATTTCTACTCATGTTTTCTTTCGTCCCACTATTTTCCTTCTGTTTGTACCACATTTATTTAAATCTTACCAATACTTTACTTGAGGAAATGTAATATTGTACTCTATGCATAGAAAGGCCTTCTGATCAATCTGTCTTGCCAGGTTTCACTGGTTCTTTTCTCTCAGTGAGCAAGTGGTGGGGACCAATAGGCATAAAAGATCTACTGGCTCCTCCTGACATCTTTTTAGGTCATGGAGCCTGATACCAACTGGCCCTTTCTAGCCATGATCAAGTGGAGAAGCAAATCTCATCAGATTTTAAAAGGGGTGGGAAAATGAACCTATGAAAGTCTAATACATTTGGAGGAAGTCTTCAAATATATCCTTAAGGTGTCACAGTAGTGAGTATGTTCTCTGGCAATACTGCAACCAAAACAGCTGTTCCTGGCTGGTCAGGACAAAGCTGTCGTTTACACTCTGCAAAAAAAGGGCAGCTGAGAAAAGACAGCCCAAGTTACTTGCTGCAGATCATACAGACCAACAGGAGTATGATCTGGGTGTATGTGTGTCTCATTGCTTCTTTACTTTTTTGTATTATATAAGTAATGTTTCTTGTAACACACATTATCCAGGTGCCCAGCAATGACACTGTGAATGTTGACATATTTCCTTCTAATTTTCTATGT